CCTGGAGTGTCAGTGGTTGGGGCAATGAGGCTGGCAATTTGAGATGCCTGTGGTTGGGGGTTGGTGGGTGTTAGTGGCTGGGGGTAGACCGACGTCACGGCGGTCACATGATCGGGAAAGGTCACGATTGAGAGAGCAGATCGGGACCTCTCCGTGAGTACCGGACATGTGTGCTGGGAGCGCGCAGGGCACACGCTCTCAGCACATATGTTTTCTCTTACCTGAACGCAAATGTGCGGCCGCTCGGCGTCTAGGCCCAAACATCGGGAGGCCACACATTTGTGTGCGGCCCGCGTAAAGGGTTAAAAAGGCAGTTTGCAGTTTGGAAAACTTTTTTCACACTTTTTTTTAACATATTTTTAATGTGTTATTGCAGGGGTCTCCAAACTTTCTAAACATAGGGCCAATTTACTGTTCATTAGACTTTCGGGAGGCCGGACTGTAGCCATTAGGAGTAGAAATTGTCCCGACATCAGTGGGAGTAAACAACTCATCTTTGGTATTAGAGGGAGGAAAAGCCCCCCTTCATTGGTGTAAGTGGGAGGAATAGTGCCCAATTGTTGGTGTCAGTGAGAGGAATAGTGCCCAGTTGTGTCAGTGGGAGGAATAGTGCCCCATCATTAGTGTCAGTTTGAGGAATACTGTCCTATTGTTGGTGTCAGTGGGGGGAACTATTGCCCCATCAATGGTGTGGGTGGGAGGAACAGTGCCCCATCATTAGTATCAGTGGGAGGAATATTGCCCCATCATTGCTATCAGTGGGAGGAATAGTGCCCCATCATTGGTATCAGTGGGAGGAATATTGCCCCATCATTGCTAACAGTGGGGGGAATATTGCCCCATCATTGCTATCAGTGGGAGGAATAGTGCCCCATCATTGGTATTAGTGGGAGGAATAGTGCCCCATCATTGGTATCAGTGGGAGGAATAGTGCCCCGTCATTGGTATCAGTGGGAGGAATAGTGCCCCATCATTGGTATCAGTGGGAGAAATAGTGCCCCGTCATTGGTATCAGTGGGAGGAATAGTGCCCCATCGTTGGTATCAGTGGGATGAATAGTGCCCCATCATTGGTGTCAGTGGGAGGAATAGTGCCCCATCATTGGTATCAGTGGGAGAAATAGTGCCCCGTCATTGGTATCAGTGGGGAGGAATAAAGTGCCCCATCGTTGGTATCAGTGGGATGAATAGTGCCCCATCATTGGTATTAGTGGGAGGAATAGTGCCCCATCATTGGTATCAGTGGGGTGAATAGTGCCCCATCATTGGTATCAGTGGGGAGGAATAGTGCCCCATCATTGGTATCAGTGGGGTGAATAGTGCCCCGTCATTGGTATCAGTGGGAGGAATAGTGCCCCGTCATTGGTATCAGTGGGAGGAATATTGTCCCATCTCCCAGCCATAAAGGTTCTGTCATTGATAATGTAAACCTCCACTAACCTATTAAAATGTCATGGTCAGCCAATTCAATGCTGCTGGGAGTTCTAAGAGGATGAAGCAGTCATCCTTGTCCTTCACTGAGACCTTGGATCCCCAACCCAGGATCTAGTGGGCAGAGAATAATTCCCTTTAGTGTTGCACAGTTATACAGGCTCCTTTCCTTTACTTAAATTCTGATTTCACTGCACACTGTGAGCTTCTCACAATGTGTATTAGAAGCAGCAGCTAGCCAGATAGAGCCTGCCTATTTCCTGGCTGGAGGGCGTCCAGCATCATCTAGCACTTTACTCCCCATCTGGACTGTCCCTGGCCTGCTCTTTTCATTTATAGGATTTTAGTTATTTCAGTCATGGAGGCTGAGCAGCACATGTGGGTATTACCTAGCACAGTTTGCATGCAAATACAGCCTGCATGGAAATTGAATTTTTATTACTTGCATAACTCCTCCCAAAAGACAGCTCGCCTTATTGCATAGGGGCTCTTGAGAGGAGTACTGAGGCAGGGCACATGATGTTTTAGGAAGCTATGTACAGCACCCTGTCAGACACTGTCAGCAGTTGTGGTCTGCCTGCATTGCATAGAGAAGCATAGAGAACCAGGTTGACAACACTGGATCTATGTAATGAAAGGGAAATGGTTTTATTTAAAAATTTTATTAGCATGTTGATGAGAAAGGAGAGTGAGGAACCATGAAAGGCAAAGGGGTTCCACTTAAAATCCATACCAGACCCAAAGGGCCTGGTATGGATTTGGGGGGGGACCCCCACACTGTTCTCTTTACCATTTTGTATTACCATCAAAGGTTTTTTTATATTCAGCTGTCAGCGGGGAACCTCGAATACAGTTGAAAACTTATCCATTGTTAAGGATCCGGCCCTCTCCTTAACAACCAGTAAACATGGAAATTTAGTAGAGTTTAGGGGAGTTTAGTAGAGTTTAGGAGCTGTCAGCGTTTTTTCTGTCAACACGTTGCTGCTCCAGAACGCACTGGCAGACGTTTTTCTGCCACTAAACTCTCCTGCCAAAAAACGCTACTAAAAGCCTATGTGTGCATAAATACATAGGATAACATGCAGGGGAGCTTAGAGACAGTTAAAAAAAAAACATCTGTTGCTCAAAACAGCAGCTGTAAAAATGCCCAGTGTGTATGAGGCATTATGTATTTCAGAGGGTGGAATGCTCTATCTTAAACATCAACAGCGATATTCTCCAATCTTCTTTCAGCCCTGTTCTGGTCAATTGCAGCACTTCATACCTTGATCAAGGGGAGCTTTTCAGCTTCCTGAAATGCAATATTTTGTTAAACTGATTTTTGTTTTTTTTTTTTTTAATGGTTGTGTGCTTTAAGCATAGGACCACAAGTTCCCTGGTGGGCAATGTGGATATTTCACTCATTAGAGACTGCAGATAGTGCACTGTTCTTAATAATAAAAATACATTTTATTTTATATAGCACCTTTAAAGGTAGCTTCTCAAAGCTTGTCTAAAGAAAAAAGTTTTTAGATTTGATTTGAATGAGTACCTTGGATCTTACTGTATCTAGATCCCCTATAGGTGGATTCTAGATACAGGTGAAAAAGCATGTAATTTTTGTGGCATGATCTAGCAGCACCCTGTGTGGGAGTTATCTTTTAAGGCTTATCTGAGGGTTGTCTTGTATATGTTAGTAATAATAACATGGATATATTGGCAGTTGTTTTCATGTTTTAAACCTGAAGCTGTCATTAAAAAAATACTTGGTGGTCTTGCCACGAAGGTCCTTGTTCAGGCACTTCCTATTATGGATGACAACTGGCTCCCAGTTGTGCTTCTGAGTTGTCATCCTGGTTGCACCTAAAACCTTTTCACATTTGTCATTATCAAAGCAGTCCAAATTAATGATGTGCAGTGAAAACTGGAGCAAGTGCATATAGACAGGAAGGGCTGGAAGACACCGGAGGAGATCAGAAACACTGAGATTAAATAACAGATGAATAAAATGAAATAGGATTACTATATAGTATATTATTATGAAAAAAAATCATGACAATTGTTTGACATACATTGTTTTAGCAAAGTAAATGTCATATAGTTAGGATTTAGAGCTGGTCTGATTCCTGCTGGGAAAAGACTGGCGATAAAGGAGCCTATAGGGAAGCGTGTCTTCTTTCATTTTTACCTAAGACAGCTTTATCTATCCATAATTATACATTTATTTAATGGTATAATTTTAACCACTTCCCGACCGCACTATAGCCAAAATATGGCTACAGTGCAGTTGGCTAGTTCTGGGAGGGCGTTTATGGACTTAATCCCAGAACCACACCCCTGCATGCCCCCTGGGGCATGCTCAATGCATGAGTTGTGATCGCTGTGTCCTTTGGACACAGCTGATCACGTGTCCAGGTAAAGGGCCAATCAGAGACACATTTTACAATGTGATCTGCTGTGTCCAATCACAGCTAATCACAGTGTAAATAGGAAATGCTGGCTATCGACAGTCCTCTCCTCATGCTTACAGCGCATGAGGAGAGGAGAGCTGGTAAGCGGCATTTCTCAGAGGGGACATCTACACTGATCATCAGTGCCCTGATGATCAGTGTAGCCCCATCAGTGCAGAGTATCAGTGCCCATCAGTGCTTAGTATCAGTGCTGGCTATCAGTACTCATCAGTGCTGGCTATCAGTACCCATCAGTGCTGGCTATCAGTGCTTCCTCAGTGCTGGCTATCAGTGCTTCCTCAGTGCTGGCTATTAGTGCCCATCAGTGCTGGCTAACAGTGCCCATCAGTGCTGGCTATCAGTGTCCATCAGTACTGGCTGTCAGTGTCCATCAGTACCACCTATCAGTGCCCATCAGTGCCCCCTATCCATGCCCATCAGTGCCACCTATCAGTGCCCATCAGTGTCCCTATCATTGCCCATCAGTGCCGCTTATCCATGCCCACCAGTGCCACATATTGGTGCAGCCTCATCAGTACCTTCTCATCAGTGCAGCCTATCAGTACTCATCAGTGCAGCGTATCAGTGCCCATCAGTGTAACAGTGCATCAGCGAAGGAGAAAAATCACTTATTTAACCACTTGCCTACCAGGCACTTATACCCTCTTATTTACCAGGCCAATTTTCAGCTTTCAGCGCTGCCTCACTTTGATTGACAATTGCGCGGTCATGCAACATTGTACCCATATGAAATTTTGATCATTTTTTTCTCACAAATAGAGCTTTCTTGGTGGTATTTAATCGCCACTGGGCGCTTTACTTTTTGCGCTAAAAATAAAAAAAGTGTAAAAAATTTGAAAAAAAAAAAGTTTCTTTGTTTCTATTATAAAATTTTTCAAACAGGTATTTTTTCTCCTTCACTGATGTGCGTTGATGAGGCAGCACTGATGGGCACTGATAGGCGGCACTGATGGGCACTGATAGGCAGCACTAAAGGGCACTGATAGGCAGTACTAATGAGGTGGCACGAATAGGCGGCACTGATAGACAGCACTAATGAGGTGTCACGGATAGGCGGCACTAATATGCAGCACTGATAGGCGGCACTGATAGGTGACACTGATGATGGGTACTGATAGACGGCACTGACTGGCATCACTGCTGGGCACTGACTGGCGGCACTGACTGGCACAACCCCTGGGCACTGACTGGTGGCACTGACTGGCAGCACTGCTGGGCTGCACTGGTGGGTGGCACTGGTGGGCAGCACTGGTGGGTGGGCACAGGTGGGTGGCACTGGTGGGCACAGGTGGGTGGGCACAGGTGGGTGGCACTGCTGGACACAGGTAGGTGGCACTTCTGGGCACAGGTAGGTGGCACTGCAGAGTGGCACAGGTGGGTGCACTGCTGGGCACAGGTGGGTGCACTGCTGGGCTCAGGTGGGCGGAGCTAGTGGGCGCACTGCTGGGCACAGGTGGGCGGAACTTGCGGGCGGCACTGCTGGGCACCGATCATCAGGGCACTGATCATCAGTGCCCTGATGATCGGTGCCGATCCCCGCTCTGACAACTGCCGGTTCTCGGCAGTACTTTCCTCATGATCTGACAGTGTGAGGAAAGTGCAGCCGAGAACCGGCACTTGCATTTCCCTCTGATCAGCGTGTCATTGGACACCGCTGATCACGTGGTAAAAGGCCGCTGTGATTGGCCTTTTACCACATCACGTGATCAGCTGCGTCCGTAGGACACAGCGATCACGGAGATCGCCGGGTGCGCGCCCCCCTGGGGCGCGCAGGAGAGCGCGTTCTGGGAGGACGTCATATGACGTCCACCCAGAACTGGCCAGCCGCAGTGCAGCCGTCATTCGGCTATCTGCGGTCGGCTACTAGTTAAAAAACTTTATAACAGAAACTAAGAAAAACTTTTTCTTTTCAAAATGTTTGGTCCGTTTTTGTTTGTTTGGCAAAAATAAAAATCCCAATGGTGATTAAATACCACCAAAAAAAGTTATATACAATTAAAAAAAATGATAACAATTTAGTTTGGGCACAGTGTTGCATGACCGCGCAATTGTCATTCAAATTGCAACAACTCTGAAAGCTGAAAATTGGCCTGGGCAGGAAGGGGGTAAAAGTGACAAGTAGGCAAGCGGTTAAGGAATAAATAGCATCTTCTCCAACTGCTGGGATGTCAGCATCATAATTATTGCATCAGAAGTCAATTGTGAATAATTCTGATATAGTATGTGTGTTGGAAGTCAACTTGACACACAGTGATTGTCTCCAGAATTTAGTCATAAATAAACAGCACTTCAAAGAAGTATTTCAATATTGAAGCGCTGTACATTTTCAGAGTTTTACATAAGGTGTCTACAGCCATGGTGACCCTGATAAGTGTTCTTTCAACATAATGTCTTGTCCTGCTCAAAGCACAAAAAAAACACCACTTTTAAGTGTTGAATTGACACACAACCTTTTCAAAAAAAGGTACAAAATAATAGGTGATTTTGTACAATAATTACTATGATTGTTTTAGCAAAGTAATAAAGTTAGGGTTTAGAGCTACTTTTATAGCATCCTAAGTGACAGATGAGCGTAGGGCAGGAGGAATACCCAGGTTGTGATCATATGTGTGAATTCCAAAGTATCTCAACATCACTTTAAAAAAAAAAAAAAACGTGCTAAACTATTGCTTCACAGTATCAGCAATTCTACAGGAAAGAAAAAACTAATTAAAAAATTATAAGCAGGCACATACTTGGGTTCTGCGTAGTAGTGGGGGAAACATTACATAATTATAAGAAAATTAACTATCAGATTAATTGTTCCCTTGCTGCACAAAAAAGAAAATAGTAATGAAATTAAAGTTTTATAGCAATGTTATTTTCTGATGATTTATTAGATGTGGAATAAAAGCACTGGCTAGTTACCTAAATAGGACCGCTGGAACAATGATCATTTAACACAAACAGAAAAGGGAAAACCTGTTTTAATATTTAACTGAGAGTATTGTAAGTTTGAATACTTTAATGACCTAATAAGTTCCTATTTAATCTTTAATGTGCACTTGTGACCAGACAATCGACATGAAAGTATTTACATATTATTAACAAACGTAAATGAGATTTAAAAATGGCCATTCCTGACCTCTCTAACTGCGTGTACTATAATGTAATTCATCCTTAAAGATTACAACAAATACTCTAAATTTAAATTTTGTTTTGTTGCGGGCAAAAGGCACAGGCGCACTGTCCAACCCAACAGTCTGCAAATCTTTGAAAGCTGCTGTGGCAGGACGGTGCACCCACAGGTACTAATGTCTAGGACAGTACGCATCCAGCAATGAATGCCTGAATCTCAGATGGCTTGACCTTTGGGCATTCATTCCTGGGCACATACTGTTTAATTGTTAGTACCGTTTGGTGCAGCTTGCCCAGCCCTATCCAGCAGCCTTCAGCCTATCATTTTTACAGGCCTGTGCTATCCAACCGCACAAAGACTCTGGGATCTCATGCATCAGGGCTAAATGCCCTGTGTGCATGAGGTCTTAGAAACATCTGCTATGTATTTTCATTAGTGGGCTGGTAGACAGCCAAGATTCTGCTGCAATACAGTAGTAGAGAATAAGCTAAGATTTTTTTTCAGTGCCTCTTAATTAATTTCTCCACAGTGCCTTTAGCTACAGATGTGAATTTGGGCTTGTGCTTTTACTGCTTGTTTAGGATATGTTAATACCTAAAGGATAAGTTCACCTTTCATAACATGTTACATGTTACACCCATATTCATGGTGTAACATGTTATGAAATCACCGGTGCCCGCTCCCGGACGATCTTCTTCCCCCCACTAGCTGTCAAATTTTTAAAAAAAGTGGTTGTACAGAGCTTCGCCCGCCCGCCTCATCACTCCTCTGTAAAGCGCCTTGGTAGTTCATTGAATCTTCCTGTCAGTATATCTGCTTGTCCATACGGGATGTAAGAGTATATCTGCTTGCTCTTACATCCCGTATGGACAAGCAGATATACTGACAGATCTGCAGGAGACCTACTGATCGCTGGTGCAATGCTTTTTACAGGCTCCTGCAGCAAAAAATAAAAAATGCAAATTTTTTTACCTGCAAAACAGTGCATTTATTATTTTTTACCAAAAGGTGAACTTATCTTTTAAATGTGCACAGTGTAGGAACAGATTTACTTTAAGGTGGCAAGTAGCTTTCAAGAAACTTTTCATAAAATTGAAAACAATGCCCTGAAATGTGCATGAGGATATACTGTACAATCTACTGTAGCAGCCAGGATTGTTATTCATCCAGGCACAGTTGTTTTGAGTCACTACCTAAAACTGATACACTCATAGGATGTGTTTATGCAGGGCTGCTGTTACCATGGGAGCCCGTATAGCCAACCGGACAGGGCCCCCTCCCCCCCCCAAAAAAAACACAGTTTACCAGGCTTTAATTTTGAATGAACACAGTGAGTGATCAGTACCAATCACTCATTGTGTTCATTCGGGAAAGGAAGGGGCTGGTAAATGTGACATGCTTACTGGACCCTTCCCCCACTCTCCATCCTGAAGGATCCTATTGTGTGCTTGCAGCTACCAGAGAGAATGAGAAGAGGGAAGCCGGCAGCACTGAGGGGTGGGGGCACTCAGGGGGGCCTGGGCAGCAGGGGAGAAACATATGGTGCACAGGGTGGGTTTTGGGTGTGGGGGGGGGGCTATTACTGGAACCAGAGCCCTGTATGGCTCTCTCTGCAGCAGCTAAAAACCAGTGGGAGGGAGAGGAAAAGAATCCAACTTCCAGCTGCTGCAGAGAGCCATATTGGAGATTGGTTCCAGTAATAGCCCCACTGCCACACATATTTGTAAACGATATAGGGTCTAGGATTAAAAATCTAATTTCAGTTTTTTCAGATGACACCAAGCTCTGTAGTGGAATAACGTCCTTACAGGATGTCTTCAACTTACAAGCCGACCTCAATGCACTGTTTAATTGGGCAACTATGTGGCAAATGAGGTTTAATGTTGTTAAATGTAAGGTTATGCACTTGGGAGCTAAGAATATGCATGCATCATACATACTAGGGGGGGTACAACTGGGGGAATCAATGGTGGAGAAGGATCTGGGAGTTCTGGTAGATCACAAGCTTAATAATGACATGCAATGACAAGCTGCGGTTTCTAAAGCGAGCAAAATCCTCTCTTGTATTAAAAGAGGTATAGACTCCAGAGAGAGAGATATCATATTACCCCGGTACAAATCATTAGTAAGACCTCATCTGGAATATGCAGTTCAGTTTTGGGCATCAATTCAAAAAAAGAAGATTGGAGAACTTGAGAAAGTACAGAGAAGGGCAACCTAACTGATACGAGAAACGGAGGAGATCAGCTATGAGGAAAGATTAGAGGAACTGAATTTATTCTCTCTTGAGAAGAGGAGATTAAGGGGGGATATGATCAACATGTATAAATACGGTGGTTCATATAGTGAACTCGGTGTAGAGCTATTCACCCTGAGGTCATCACAGAGGACAAAGAGGCACTCTTTACGTCTGGAGGAAAAGAAATGTAATCTCCAAACACGGAAATGTTTCTTCACAGTGAGAGCTGTGAAAATGTGGAATAGACTCCCTCAAGAGTTGGTTCTGGCCAGCTCAGTGGATTGCTTCAAAAAAGACCTGGATTCTTTCTTAGATACACAGAATATAACTGGATACTAACATTTATAAGTAAAGTTGATGCAGGGAATATCCGATTGCCTCTCGGGGGATCGGGAAGGAATTTTTTCCCAGCAGGAGCAAATTGGATCATGCTTTGCTGGGTTTTTTTTCCTTCCTCTGGATCAACTGTGGGTATAGGGTTATAACTGTTTTTTTTTTTTCAATGGTTGAACTGGATGGACTTTTGTCTTTTTTCAGCCAGACTAACCATGTAACTATGTAACTATGTATATGTGACTCTACCCACCACCGACAGAGGGAGTTTGCACCAACTGTTACACTTTAATTTTTGCTGCTGGAGTAGAGGTAAAAGATTGTGTTGTGCACAAACTGTCTGTGGGAGATCTACAGGATCCGCGGGCATCAACACCGAGTTATGCCAATTAATTTTAAAGCCGGAAAATCTACCAAAAAGGTTCAATAAGGGACATAACGGCATCTAAGGTTGTGAAAGCATCGTCCAAATATAACAGTGTGTCATCCACATAAAGGGATATCTTTTCCGAGAGAACACACTTTGTAAAACCAACGTTGTCCGGAGATTGTCGCACCAAAATCACCAAAGGTTCTAATGCCAAAGCAAACAAAAGGGGCGAGAGAGGGCAGCCCTGTCTCATCCCCCTTTGCAGCCTGAATGAATCTGACAACTTCCTGTTAACCTGGATTCGAGCACTAGGGGTCGCATAGAGAAGACGCACCGAACTAATGAACTATGGAAGCCAAATCTAGACAATACTTCCCATAGATAAGACCATTCCACACTATCAAATACCTTGGCCGCATCCA